TGGGCTCGGTGGTGGTGCTGGCAGACCTGTCCTCTCTGCGAGAAGATTGCCGAAACAAATCCTTGTTGGTTACCTGGAGTTGGCATATTTTCTTTAGGTACTCTGGTTTCTTAACGCAAACAAAAAATATGCATTTTAAGCTAATTGGTAACTCTCAAAAGGTAAATTATTGGATGGGAATAACTGATTAGCCTCTGAAGTCAACCTGATCCAAGATGGCCGCCACAGCTAATCAACAGAAAAAATGGCTACAGYTCAGTCAGTTTAACAGATATTGAACTGAAACTTGATGTGCTCATGGCTGTGAATCAACAACACATTAAATGACTGAATACTTTGTACTATGGTCTACTGCAAATAAAAAAAATAGTTCATGAAATTTGAAAAATCACTAAATTTTGTTTTTGTTTTTGTGAACAAAACACAATTGTGGGAGAATTGGCATTGTTTTGAAGAAATTTATTGGGCATTTACTTAATGATTCTAAAACCATTTTATAGTTTTCCTTTTTGAGTACTGGTTTCTATAAACTATTGTGTGGTTATTGTTATGCCTTGATTAAAATAGTTTTAGTTACATGCTGGCTAGATACTGTTTAATGAAACATAAGGAAAGTCATTGTGTTTGAGCATCTCTGGACTCAGTAGGTATGTAGTGGGCGGTCCTGATGCTGAAGACACATGATATAAAGGTTTGTAGTTCTGGGGTCCTGAACGCTGCTGATGGCTGAAAGCATTAAATCACTGCTCAGATCCAGTACTGGTTTGTTGTATGGTCTATTCTCTTCACATAAATCAAAACAAAGTCATTCCTTGTTGTAATGTGCTTTTTAGACAGCCCACTGAAKGTTAGTGTAGCTTTGTAGTGGGGGAAATTCAGATTTGGTGTTAAATCTAAATTCACAGCATCTCTGTGGTGAACATGATTGAGTAATCTGCTGCCAAGCTGGCCGGCTGGCTGACTGACTGACTGGCTGGCAGTGCAGTTTGGATGCCTGTCTCTCGGGCTGTTTGGCCTCTTGCCTTGTGGTGTCTCTCAGACTTGATTTATCCACATTTCCTGCTGGATTAGCCAATCTAGCTCTTTTGCCTGCCTGCCTGCCTGCCTGCCTGCCTGCCTGCCTGCCTGCCTGTCTGCCTGTCTGTCTGTCTGTCTGTCTGTCTGTCTGTCTGTCTGTCTGTCTGTCTGTCTGTCTGTCTGTCTGTCTGTCTGGACTTGGACTCCCTGTGTGAATCTGACTGGCAGCTTCATTGATTAACTGTGCTCTCTATTGATCCTGATTGTAAAGGAGCTTTTAAAACTATGATAATCCCAAGTGAAAGAGCTACATGTGAGGAAGCCTCTGGCAGGTGCAGACCGCGCGCGCACACACACACACACACACACACACACACACACACAC